GCCGATTACAAAGTGTCGAAAGCCCGGGCGATAAGTATCGGCCTACCAAATTGCTAATAAGCGACCGATCCCGTGATCTCTCTCCAATCTGCCATCCGCATTTAACTTGTTTATTGTTAGCGAAACGACGGCGGTAGGGATCGATTGAGACGTCCGCTTCGGAACACGCCAGCCCTAAGGGCCCCGGCTAATTGCTATAATTAATTGCGTGATTGCTATAGTTAGATCGATCCGGATTACCAGTTAGAAGAGTGTAGCTTCTGCCGCTGTAATGATACAGTCACACAGTAAGATATATTGGCCTGACGACTGTTTCGGTTCGATTCGCGACCGGTATCGCACACCGACCGCACGCTGAGAGGGAAGTCCACGATTCGATCAAAAATTAACAGGCGAACACGCGGATCGACTTGACCGGTAACTTGATCGGGTAGCCCGATCGGATATTATATTGCTCGAATGAAATATGCGTTTGTTAATTTTTTATTGAATCGTGAATTTCTCTCTGAGCGCAAAAGTCGCGACATTCCCCATCGAACAATATGCGAGTATAAAATGGGATCGTTAATGTAACTTTGCTATTTTACACACGCAATTATATTTTATGTTCTCATAGATTTATCTTCACGATTGCAAAAATTTTAATATTTTGCACAACGTAATCCTAGAACGATCGTGCTTTTGTAATTTTGCGATTTCACTTTGCAATATCCAAAAAAATTATGATATAATTTTGGGGAAATAATTTTATATGACTTTCGTGATAGGCTCGCTCGAGGTTGCGGCAATGCCTTCGCGACTAAAATTCGCAACGTCGCAAAAACGACGCAAGAACGGTGAATTAGAGGAACATTTAACGAGAGATCAGCGAGGCGTTTGAAAAAAGAACGAGGCGCTTAACGATTCGTCGACGATGAAAAAAAAAAAATCGGGCGAACCCGCGGTGCGCTTTTACGACACGGTAGGGCTTCGACTCTTTATGTCGAATCGGGACATTAAACCGCCATCTCTTTAAAAGCGTCGTATTTCTTTCATCGACGTTTGCGGTTTGCCTGAGTTACAAACGAAACTTGTAACTTTCACATTCGATAAATATAACGGCATGTACAATTAATTCCGGTAGTCAAGGGCTGCTTTGTCGATCGTGAAAAAATACGTATTTCATATAAATTATATATAGAGAATGTCTCAAATTCTCCTCCGCAATTTATGTGGGAATGTAAAACAGATTGAGGTGAACATAATTGTCCCATACCGTTTTGCGATATTCGCAGTCAATCTCAAGATATTACTTAAAGAAAATTAGTGAATGATCACACGCGATATGGTAGATGAGCTGTAGTGACGTCATCTGCCGTTGTATATTTATAAGTCAAACTGAACAAGAAAGTTCTTTACCATATGATATAGATTTTTAGATATTAAAGAAGCTTTGTACAACATCGCGCACAATCATGTAACATTTCTCTTTCCTTAATAATTAAAAATCTATGTGGTTGTTTGTAAAATGATAAAAAGGACTTTTTTGTTCATTTTGACTTAATATATAAGCACATAACAACACACATCGTCACAAAAATGTATGATATTGTATGTTATAATATTATGTTTGTAATATTTACAATATAAACATAGTATAACTGACCCATGTAAAAAACTTTTACCAAGAATTATAATTATTTGAAATAAAAAATATAGTAAGGTAGCAAATATTGAATGGTAAGAGAAATTAACTATTTTATATAGCCATTACAATTGGAATATTTGGCAAATATAGGTAACTATATTCTGTGTTCATTTTGACTTAATATATAAGCACATAACAGCACACATTGCCACACTGAGAGAAAAATGTATGATATTTGGAACTATAATGGCGTAGTAAAAAGGTTATAGTTAGGAATATCATTTTTATAGTAAATGTCACCATAATGTTTGTAATATTTACAATATAAACATAGTATAACTGACCCATGTAAAACTTTTATCAAGAATTATAATTATTTGAAATAAAAAATATAGTAAAGTAGCAAATATTGAATGGTAAGAGAAATTATCTATTTTATATAGCCAATACAATTGGAATATTTGGCAAATATAGGTACATGTAACTATATTCTCCAAGCATGCTTTACTATACACATAGAATAATAAAATGGTGACTATAAATCTGTGTTCATTCTGCTATATCTTCATGTTTAATTGAACTATAAATATATGTTTGAGACTAAAACGAACTATAAAATATAGTGAGATTATAGTTATTCCAACTATTTTTTCTCTCAGTGTGAACAAAACAGTTCTCTACCATTTTGCAAATGATATAGATTTTTAGATATTAATTAAAGAAGCTTTGTGCAATATCGCGCACAATCATTTAACATTTCTTTTTCCTTAATAACTAAAAATCTCCGTGGTTATTTGTAAAATGATAAAAAGGACTTTTTTGTTCATTTGGACTTAATATATAAGCACACATCGCCACACTGAGAAAATGTATGATATTTGGAAGTATAATGGCGTAGTAAAAAGGTTATAGTTAGGAATAGCATTTTTATAGTAAATGTCACCATAATGTTTGTAATATTTACAATATAAACATAGTATAACTGACCCATGTAAAACTTTTACCAAGAATTATAATTATTTGAAATAAAAAATATAGTAAGGTAGCAAATATTGAATGGTAAGAGAAATTAACTATTTTATATAGCCATTACAATTGGAATATTTGGCAAATATAGGTAACTATATTCTGTGTTCATTTTGACTTAATATATAAGCACATAACAGCACACATTGCCACACTGAGAGAAAAATGTATGATATTTGGAACTATAATGGCGTAGTAAAAAGGTTATAGTTAGGAATATCATTTTTATAGTAAATGTCACCATAATGTTTGTAATATTTACAATATAAACATAGTATAACTGACCCATGTAAAACTTTTATCAAGAATTATAATTATTTGAAATAAAAAATATAGTAAAGTAGCAAATATTGAATGGTAAGAGAAATTATCTATTTTATATAGCCAATACAATTGGAATATTTGGCAAATATAGGTACATGTAACTATATTCTCCAAGCATGCTTTACTATACACATAGAATAATAAAATGGTGACTATAAATCTGTGTTCATTCTGCTATATCTTCATGTTTAATTGAACTATAAATATATGTTTGAGACTAAAACGAACTATAAAATATAGTGAGATTATAGTTATTCCAACTATTTTTTCTCTCAGTGTGAACAAAACAGTTCTCTACCATTTTGCAAATGATATAGATTTTTAGATATTAATTAAAGAAGCTTTGTGCAATATCGCGCACAATCATTTAACATTTCTTTTTCCTTAATAACTAAAAATCTCCGTGGTTATTTGCAAAATGATAAAAAGGACTTTTTTGTTCATTTGGACTTAATATATAAGCACACATCGCCACACTGAGAAAATGTATGATATTTGGAAGTATAATGGCGTAGTAAAAAGGTTATAGTTAGGAATAGCATTTTTATAGTAAATGTCACCATAATGTTTGTAATATTTACAATATAAACATAGTATAACTGACCCATGTAAAACTTTTACCAAGAATTATAATTATTTGAAATAAAAAATATAGTAAGGTAGCAAATATTGAATGGTAAGAGAAATTAACTATTTTATATAGTCAATATAATTGGAATATTTGGCAAATATAGGTACATGTAACTATATTCCCCAAGCGTGCTCTACTATACACATAGAGTAATAAAATGGTGACTATAAATCTGTGTTCATTCTGCTATATCTTCATGTTTACTATAAATCATGTGAACTATAAATATATTTTTGAGGTCAAAACGAACTATAAAATATAGTAAGATTATAGTTATTCCAGCTATTTCTCTCAGTGCACTATAACTCATCTACCATATTGCGCGTCAACATTCACCAATCTTCTTTAATTAAATGTCTCGACTATTATTGCGATTATCGCAAAACGGTAAAAGACTTTTATGTTCATCTCTATCCGTTCTACGTTCTTATAAAAATTGCGGAGGAGAGTTTAGGACATCCTGTGTATCATCATAGATGAAATATACACGTGATTGACGATACGTATATCGCTTCGGCATTTCGCGCAGGAAGTTATAGATTAAGAAAGATCGCACCTCAGCTTTTTCCTGGCGAGGAGTCTGTTATCGAGCTGCGAAACACGATCCGTAGCAATCCTCGTAAAAAAATTGTCGAACCATGTTGTACGTGTGATAATAACACGGTGTGTGGCGATACTTGCGGTTTAATGATTAAGGGTTCGCGTTAACGCTCCACGATGAAATTACAACGTCGCGCGATAGAGTACGCCGTCGCGAAAAGAAAAGGCGCGAAAAATCGCGGAATCAGCTATACTTAATGATTAACATCTCGATGCCGTTTACATTTAATATCAACCTTCCCTGCTAATCTCATTGCGCTGGAACAAAGCTCGAAAAAGTGTGGAAGATTGAATGGGATTAACTATAGTCTCTAACTAATTCAAAATATGCGGAAACTCTCGATCCCAGCTGACACCGGACGTTTCAATCTTATAGTTAATCTATCACGTATGGCTAATTATCGCATAATTTTCCGCTCTATTTTTATTAATACACTAACAGCTTAATTTGCAATTCAACGAAGTCGTTAATTCCGATAAAGCTGCCCACAATTACTTACTTATTTTGTAGATGCGTATCACGATTATAGCAGATTCTACCTTTTCGTTGTACTTGAAACATTTCTTTTATCTCTATCACATCCGTTTCGCGTGTCTCATGTATTAAACATATACGTTTATAGATATGTTTATTTCAATAGAATTATAAGACGAATCTCTTCGAAAGAGACTCACCGAGACAATGCGGAAAGACTTCGGCGTTTCAAACACCCACGCGCTCATTATCCTCCCTTTCATCGGCCACACCGATAAATCTGAATAACGTCCGTTCTTTTCTCGCTGCATTTTCAGGCGATACGGCACCAAGTGCGGCGGTTGCCTCCAAGGGATAAACCCGCAGGATCTCGTGAGGAAGGCGAGGGACAAGGTTTTCCACCTGAATTGCTTCACCTGCCTGGTGTGTCGGAAGCAGATGAGCACCGGCGAGGAGCTCTATGTCCTGGACGACAACAAGTTTGTCTGCAAGCAGGACTACCTGTCGGGCAAGCCGCTGCCAGACACGCATCACGTGCACGGTCATCACGGTGAGTCGCCGGGGTCAAACCTCTTTTCAATAGTCACCTCTGCGGAATATTGAAGATATAGGATTAGCGACAAAGTCATTGGCGTGATGCGATTGCAATCACCGATGTTTCTCTGAAACATGACTTCAGCTGACTGTATACACAAGGAAATATATACTGCATTCAAGTAAATAAAGAAGCTTCCTTCAAGAATATTGCACTAGTTTATATATTTTCAAATCGATTATAAATTCATCACTAGCATATCAAATTTATTTAAAATATATTCCGAGTCCTAGGAAGTTTAGCATTTTAATAAAAAATATTAAATTGAAAGAAAAGTTCGGTCTACTTATTGCATATACGAGCCAATTTGTTCTTTGATAAAGTTTTATATTATTCTTGTAGAGGGAGTAAAAATTTTTCTCTCGAGTGCATGATAATGAATTCTTCAAAAATTTTTGATGGGTATATTTTAAAACTATTGTCAAGAAAATATTCCTTATTAAAGATAATCATTACTCAAAAATAGTAAAGTGAGTAATCGCTTTTCTTAACACTAGAATGATATTCTTCTGTTGGGCTAGAGTTAGTATTATACGGGTAATACTTAGTTTTCAATCTTCACTTCCAACATCATGAACTTAATAAGACATATAGTTTAACCCTTTGAAGACGAACTTTCAATATGTGTTATCTGTAACTTTTACAGTTTTTGATAATCGGTAATAAAAGGCCTGGCTATATATTTTGATGTACAAATAGGTAGGGATTGTAAAAGGGTGATATATATTTGTACCATCAGTCTTAAAGTATAGTAAACAAATAAACCAAGTCTTGTTTTGCAAAATAATTTATTTCTTATCAACATTATAATGAAACAAAGGGGTGATTATAAGTGATATTTAGAAAAACAATTTTTGCAAAGAGGCAAAAATTTTTACAAAAAATCTTCAAACAATAGTTATGTTAGTAAAATCTTACCTGATTTTACTACGATTAATTGTGGGCAACTTTATCGGAATTAATGACTTCGTTGAATTGCAAATTAAGCTGTTAATATATTAATAAAAATAGAGCGGAAAATTACACGATAATTAACCATATTAACTATGAGATTGAAATGTCCGGTGTCAGCTGGAATCGAGAGTTTCCACATATTTTGAATTAGTCAGAGACTATAGTTAGTCCCATTCAATCTTTCACATTTTTTCGAGCCTCGTTCCAGCGCAATGAGATTGGCAGGGAAGGTTGATATTAAATATAAATGGCATCGAGATGTTAATCATTAAGTACAGCTTAGGAAAACAAAATCATAATATTACAAAAAATATACGTTTTTTTAGTCAAAAAACTGACACACACTTTTAGCACACTAAGTAGTCAAAACCTAACCTGAAATGCAATATTCGGCTATCGTATTTTACACACATGCAGAAAACTGCGTGGTATATCCTCGTGTCATTTTATATTTAAAAATAAATTTTCAGTCTTTAAGAGATTAGTGCTGGTACATATATATATATATATATATATATATATATATATATATATATATATATATACCCGGAGGCTTTAAAGGGTTAAAACTCAAACGCGATGTTGAATTATTAATTGTACAATCGCGAGTAGAAAGATCGCTTATCTTTTTTTGCGAGTTTAAGAACGTCTTGTCCAATGGGAGAATCTATTTTTCCGTTGAGAGAATTCCCCAATTGGACGGATACTTTTTTAAATTCATGAAAAAGGGTGGACAATCTTTTTGCGATTGTACATAATCTATTTTCTTTGAGTATTCGTTCGTCTGTTATTTTCTTGCGTTATTCTTTAAAATATTAAGTGGAGCCAGGAAAGTAAAAGCGGTTTGCGAAGAAGGAGCATATTTCACGGTGTCATAACTTGTTCGCGTAGATCGTTCGTTCCGTTCACAGATGAATTCGCCGCGGAATTTAAATTCAAGCGACATCTCTCCGACAAATACGCGTGAACTCCGTGCTTAGCTTCTGTCGATCGATATCGAGACTGGTCAACACTGCTTCGTCTCGTCACTGATGATGACGATACTTTAACAATATCCGGTTCTCTCGTGTGTACACGCACTGAGAGAAAAAATAGTTGGAATAACTATAATCTCACTATATTTTATAGTTCGTTTTGGCCTCAAACATATATTTATAGTTCATCTAAACATGAAGATATACGAGGGTGGTCTGAAAAGTTTCCGACCTCAACGTGAAGATAGCAGCACTTGTAAATAAAAGCTAGTGAATTTCGTTGTTCATCTGTTGACAGTTACTCACCGAAGTTTCAGCCATTTTGGACTCGCAGTTGTTATGTAACAGTCGTTTGAGTAAGTTGATGTGAGTGTTTTTGTGAAAATGGACAAAATCGAGTATCGAGCTGTCATTAAATATTTGTTTTTGAAAGGCAATACGCCTACGCAAATCAAAGATGAGTTGGATTCTGTGTATGGGGACTCTGCACCATCATTTAC